AAATGAATGAAATTAAAACTCATTGTGTGTGTGTGTGTGTGTGTGTGTGTGTGTGTGTAGGCAAGTTGTCACAATTGCCAATGAAGAATACAGCTACGTGATGCCTGCATTGCAGGAGTTTGGATTAAATGGCCCTTAGGGTCCCTTCCAACGCTACAATTTTATTATTCTTTTTTTTAAAAAAATAGCAATTTCAGCATAACAAAATATCAAAACATATCATATTCATTATTTTCCTGCCTTCTCCCCTCACCTTCCCATTGAACCCTCCACCCCAAGACTTCCCTCAGCTCCTCTCTCTGATTTCTCACCACATATTATTCTCTGCATACTGTAAAATGGTATAAATCCTTATATTATCTATTATGTTAACAGTCAATAAATTTGTGTATGTTTATTCAAAACCTGCCAAGGAGTCCAATTCATTTTGTTGTCTTTTTAAGTAATTTGTATACAATTCTATGATTCTGTGCAGGATTTTGTCAAGGCTTTGTCGAGAAATTTAGGAGAAATGTGCGTTAAATGCTGAAGAATTAATAATAATAATAATAATAATAATAATAATAATAATAATAATAATAATAACGGCAAGCCGATGCAGAAATGTGACGAACTGAATGTAAGATTGGAGAAACGGGAAACCGAGAAAATCCAAAACTGATGGCCTTGTCCATCCCTAGCAGAGAGGAGACTAGTAGAGCTGCATTCAAATGGCTGGCTGTATTGAAATCCTAAACTGGTCCCGAAACCATTTACCATGGGGCTTCTCTTTCCTTGCAGGCTCCCAAAAGGTGAACACGGAGTGTGGAGACTGCCTGCCTGGCTTCTGCCTATCTGGAGAAAGCTGCCAGCCATGCCCAACGTGAGATCTCCTTTGTCGTTCTTGACATCCTTCCTCCATGGGGAATTCTGAGGGAGGGGTGGATTCTAGAAATGAGGCCTGGTTTTTCCTTTGGCTAAAGGTCTCCCAAGAGGGCTGCCACATTCTCAGCCATATTTTATTTAAAGAACCACACGAAAATAGGGCAGGGGATACTCTCTCTATTGTTCCTTGCTTATCAGCCTCAGTTTCCTGGTTCCCTTGCTAAAAATGTGTGAGTGTGAGATTTGCTAGACATGTTCAGCACCTTCCCCTGAGGATCTCTGAAAGTTAAATCTTTGTTTTTTTTTATAAAAATTTTATTTGATTTTCTGCTTTTATAAAGACAAAACATACACAAAGAAAAAACAAAAGACAAAAACATGTATAAAATCAGCAAATCCCCGTTTCATAACCTTGTTCCCTGACTTCCCCCCACCTCCCCTCGTGCATCCCAGTTTCAAGATTATAACAGCAAGTTGATATTTCTCCTCTTAACAATCTTATTCATCTTATTTCGTTTTTCATAATAAAAATTGATTTTCATAAGTTGGACTTAAGTTCTCTTCCATCGATTTTCATTTTATCTTAATTGAAAGTCATCTTAACCAAACCTAAAAGTCTTGAGAGTTTTTAAGAGTCTCTTCTTCCCTCCCTCCCATCCCCGGTTTTTGTCCCTTCCCAATAAAAATCCAAATTCGAGATTCTCAGCCTGGGTTCCTCACGTCCGAGGCTTTCGGGTCTCTTTCCGTCCCTCTCCGCCTGTCCTGTTGGTAGTCCTTTGTAGCAGTCGTCAAATCTGGGAAAAGTTCTTTCACCATCAAGATGTATCCTCTTCCGACAAGAAAATTCAAAGGTAGCTGCTGAAGTATTTCCACAAAGTCTATCTCTTCCAAGTCTAAGTCCAGACGGAGGCCCCAATCATATTTCTTTATTTTAAATTCCTGTATTCCATTTTGTTTTGGGACCTCCTCCTTCTTCTTCTGTATCTTTCGCAGACTTGTAGTGGATATGTTCCCAGCGTCTCCTTGCTTGTATTCCACAGATGTCAGCTTTTGGTTGTTACTTCCCAGGATTACTTCTTCTTTTTCTTGTTGTTTAGTCTCTTCCAGCTCTGTAGGTATTGTTTCCCAATCAGCTGTGGATTCTTTCTCATTGAGGTCCTCAATACAAGGAGCAGAGTTGCCTGTTCCCAAGGTCATAGTCTCAAGTTGTTTATTCATGGCAAAGCTCTGCTCTTGTAAGATTCCCACCAATTGAAACATCCTTTCGATTTCCACTAGTAACTTTCCTTCCACAGCCATTGTATCCATTGTAGTTTCACAGAATTCCCCCTAGGGGGAATCTGGTTACTTATTTGCCTTTTCAGCAACAATCCTTTAACTGATTGTTATTACTTTGTTTCCAACAGTTTTAACTCAATTATAACTCGTCTTAGTCCAGAGGGATCTTAAATGACAATTTCTCACTTTAAACCGCCCGTTTGGCAGCTTTGACAGCTGTCAAACTCCGCAGCTCCGCAGCTCTAACGCAGGCACAAAGGCAGGACGTTCCCGAGCCCGGGAGGGGGGGTTGTTTAAAGCAAAAAGAGGGTTTCCAAAACTCCACTCTCCAGCCCAAAATTTCCTTTAGTTAAATCTTGGAAGTTAGTGTCCTTTTTAACTCACCCCGCCAAGGGTAGGCTCTCCAGCTTAGCTCTTGTGTCGTTGCTTAGATCGTCTGCAAGAGGGGGGGTGCGGACTTCCTTTTAGCACACCCCCCGGTCGTCTCCAATTTAAGGTAAATTTTTTAAAATCCCAATCCGTCTTACTCACGGGTGATTCTTTCAGTCCAAATTTTCAAGGAAGGAAGTCAGCGCTCTCTGGTCATGGCTCGCGGCTTCGCTCCACCGAGGTAGCGATCGACTCTCAGTGCCACGCCACCCCCGTATCCCCTCCGCAGCCTTTAAAAAGGCTCTTTGCGAATCAGGGGGGGCGCTTAAGGCACCCGCCGAGTCTTCAGTCCGCAGGCTTCCGCGCCTGCGGTTTTTAAGGGTCCCCGCGTCGCCGGCGCGGCAAAGACCCATCCTCAGTGGAGCCGATTCCCTCCGGAGCTCGGAGGGAATCCGCCATTTCCAGATCGCGTCAACCCGGAAGTGAGAAAGTTAAATCTTTGAGCACAGAACAGACCCATTCTGGACTCTTCCAGATAACTTTTTATTGAGCTTTCATCCTGATATGTTTTCCCATATACGAAATCGGCTGCTTATTGAGTATTCACTCTGATTTGTTTGCATTGCACGAATGGATTGAGATCCTCCACTTTCCATTCCATTTCTCACCACTTTCCTTACTGCAAAAAGTCCAGGGTTGGTTTTTTGTTTTTTTTAAAGCAGGTTTGTTGCAGCAAGTCAGTTTCAGCTGCACAACCTGAATTTGATGTTCCATGACTGAATCCAACTTGCAAAACAGCCGTCTGGAAGCAGCCCTGGTCTGCCATGCAAATTCATCACTGGCACCTGCCAGTCGACGCTACCCATTTAGGACAGTTTGATCACTGGTTCATTCTCTTTTTCAAGTATATTCCTTTGGAGAATCAGCCCTGGACTTTAAATTATTGGCAGTCAGCTGGGTTGGGAAATAAACCAACATGGCGGGCAGGAAATGTAATGTCAATGGTGATGTGGACAATAAGAATTCAATGAGAATTGCAATGTTCCAAGCTCACCCCTGTCTTTGTCATTTTAGTCAGTGGGTGCCAGTAAGCTCCACCTAAATTCTTTTGTAAATTTCTTTGATTCTTATGTATTTATTTATTTTGCAAAAAGCAACCAATAATTGTTATCAAAATCATCACCACCATTAGTACCATATCACCCATAGAGATTCAGGTAGGTAGCCGTGTTGGTCTGGCGCAGTCAAAAAAATAAAAAGAAAAAAATAAAAGAAAAACATTGTCTAGTAGCACCTTAGAGACCAACTAAGTTTGTTCTGGGTTTAAGTTTTCATGATACACTTCAGATATAATGAAACTTCTGTTTCAGTGTATCTGAAGAAGTGTGCATGTACACGAAAGCTTATAGCCAGAACTTACCCATAGAGATGCTGTGGATGAGTCTCTCTTAAATTCTCAAGTGCCCTTATGTGCTCTTTGACATACAACACAAAGCAACCCCCAACACATCATTTCCTTGTCCTTTGTAATGCTTGTACCCAGGCATAACCTACAAATTCTCTCCGTTCCTGCAATTTCTTATTATGCTCACAGTCTCTCTGTTCTCAGTTCAGCTCCAAGCCCTCTCCAGCTCCCTCCTATCGGCTCGGAGGCTTCCACCATTAACCTATAAATCCCTCTCCAAATGTCTCTGGTGTCCCCATTGCCACCACTATGGCCTTGGGCCTCTTTGTGGGCTCACAGCTGAGTTCTGCTCTACCCAGTTTTGGTGACATTGAATGCTGAGGCCAGCCTTCCTCAACGTGGTGCCCTCCAGATGGTTTTGTATTGCAGTGCCCTTCCTCCCTTACTACTCATTTGTCATGTTGGCCAGGATGGTGGGAATTGGAGAAAGCAATGTTGAGGAAACCTGGTTAGCATCCTTATCCCGTAGGGATGTGTTACCCCAAGCTAGACTTTCTCCACCTTTTGTCCACCCCCAACAGACCCCCTTCTTTCAGTACCCTGCATTGCCACCCTTCTGTTTGGGGGCTTAAGCCCCACTGGTCTGCAATCTACAAGTGGAGCCTGGCCCTTTCTGTCTATGATCTGCTTGTCTTGAAACGCACCCTGCTCCTGCACGCTGCCTACCAACTCTATTCTGCTGACACCCACCTTGTCTCATATAGACATTGGAAGCTCTCCATCCCACCTCCTGCTTATTTGATCCCAGGAAGCATTTCTGTAAGGGCTGCCTTTGGATTTCAACAGACTACCTAGAAACTTATTTTATCTTTCCCCTCCAGAGCAAGATTATGGTCTAACTCTGATGCCTCACGACTTCCGGTACCCACCACCCCAAGCAGGCAAGTCCCCACGCGATCACCTGCCCTTCACTAAGTGATCTCTCCCTGAATTCACGCTGTGGTAAAAGCAGGGGTGCTCAAAAGAAACCTCTTCCCACCCCTTCCTTTTCCAACTGTAACACAACAGCCCTGCAGTGCGGCCTTGGAGAGTTGTCTGGGAGAATGGGCTGCCTTTGTGGCCCATTTTTACCTAAAGGACTTAACTCTTTTTGTCTTCCAGCAAGAGTCCCAGAACTGAAATCTGCGGCAAGGACTGTAAATTTGGTAGGTCTTGGAAATGTCACACCTGGTGTTATGAGCTCAGTTTAGCGTTTATTGGAGGGGTGTGGATTAACCTCAGGGTCAGGGGCCAAATGCAGCACTCTGCCTGGCCCTTGGTAGTTTCCCCTGGTCGTGCCTCACAGTAGCCTGACTTTGCACCTTCCTGGAGTACTTTGGCTTGACTGCAATGCATCTATGGCCTGTGATTGTGCTGTCTGCTTGTCTGGATGATGGAGAAAGGGGTGTTTATGTGCATGGAAACCTGTTTCTTGTGTGACTGAAACATAGCCTATGATAGGACAGCCATATTTCAAGAAGTGAAAATATGGATGCAAACAAATTGTTGACTTTTAAAAAAATAATTCCCCTCCAAAATGCGATTTTTCGGTTATGTTGCCGAAAATCCAGGACAAACTGCCACTTTTTGGACATTCCCCCCAGATATCACTTCTGCCACTGAGATCCCAGTTAATGTCTGGGAAAATCTGGACGTATGGCAACCCTAGGCTCTAAGATAGTAAGGTAAGAGTCACATTACTTGCTCCAGGTTCAGTCCTCAATGGCATTTTCAGGTGGGACTTTACAACTGGGTTGGGCAAATTTGTGAAGGAGAAGTTAAATGTGTGTTACATTAGGGTTGCCATCCATCTGGGTTCAGCCATCCATTGCCAGGATTTGGCTGTCAGAAACAGTGTCCAGGGGGAAATCGCTTAAATGTCCAGGAAAATCCGGACATATGGCAACCCATGTCAGAAGTGTAGATTTTGGCAAATTTCCTTAAAAATAGCTCAGAAACAACTTCTTCTTCTTCTTTTTTCTTCTTCTTCGCTCAACAACTGTTGCGTCCGGATTTTCACTTTTTGAAATGGTTAAATGGGACCTCCATGCCACTTTTGTTCAGCTTGAGCCAGTACAGTACAGAGGTTAGAGTGCTCAGCTAAGACCTGGGAGGGACCAGGGTTCAAATCCCCACTCAGCCATAAAGCTCACTGGTTGACTTTGGGTCAGTCACTGCCTCTCAGTCTAACCCACCTCACAGGTTTGTTGTGCGCATGGGGGGGGGGGGAGAGGCAGAATCATGTATGCCACCTTGAGCTTGAATAACAGTGAGACTAGAGAAGCCAGTATAAGTTGCAATTTCAGTTGCATTTGGGGAACCCGCTTGAGGCATCCATTGTGTTGAGTTAATTCAATTGCTTCTGTTTGATTTGCTCATTGCGGACAGCTGGAAGTTTATAAATTTGTGATAATAAACCTGATTTTCAATGGGGGGAGGGTTTGAATGATTTCGATTGCAACTGTATGTGCCTATACACTGCAGTTGTACAATGTCTGGGGAGCTTGGCCAAGGCGAGGTGTTTGATTCCTCACTTTTTGGTCTCTTCCTGCATGTCTTCTAAGCTATAGGTGTCTGCGGATGCTTGATGCTTCTGGCAGCGGCCTTCATTGTGTACTGTATAAGGAGATTTGCCCCCCGTGCTGAGAAGAGCTACTCCACATCTCCATGCGTCCAGACTGGCCAGTCTACCAAACACCTTTGCAATGGTAATCCTAAGGTGGAAACAGGACCGGTTCTGCCATTTGGGTAGAGTGCTTAGGGGCTGTAGCTGCAGACCCTCCTCCAGTCCATTCACCTCTGTTGGGGATCAGAGCTGTGTGCCCCACAAGCCAACCATTTGCCCTCTCAGCTGGTTCACTGAAGTTCAGTAGCCCCAGGATGTTGCTGAAGTAGATTCAGTCAGTCAGCCGGAACAGCTTCTACACATGGAACAGGGCAGGATGGGATCCTATCCTCTGCCTCAGGCAGAAAAATGTCTTGGGCTGGCTCCCACGGGGTGGTCACATCCCCCACACATGCAAAGTGCTTCAGACCGATTACAATATATAGATCAATCTGTATAAGTCCAGCTGTTACAATCATACCCGTTTTGCAGATAAAGAACTGAGGCCGAAAGACTAACAGCTCGCCCAAGCTGGCTAGGGAGTTTTTTAGAGTTCCCTGCAGAGAGGAATTGACTGTTAAACCACTTGGAGAATTGTAGTTCTGTGACGGGGCAGGGAGGGTCCTCTTACAGACTCCCAGCACCCTCCACAAACTACAGTTCCCATGATTCTTTTTCTCTCTCTCCGGTCATTTACCGTATTTTTCTGTGTATAACACACCTCCTATTTTGGGGAACTAAAAATTAAGAAAATGGGGGGAGATTGCCCCCATGTATAAGACTACCCTCCTTTAAACAGTATTTTTAAGTAAAAAAAACCTAGTTTTATACACAGAAGAGTACGGTATATTAAATCTCCAAAAATATTCCAGAACATTATGGTGTTTGTTTGTTGTTTTTTAAAAAATGTATAAAGTTTCTTCATGCCTTCCTACCCCACTTTCCTGATGTCCATTTTTTTTACTCCATTTTATTAGCTGTTTTACAACACATGCTTTTTTACTAGCTAAGCTCCAGTATCATTAATTCTTCCATTAATCCACCTCTTATTTTTCAAATCCTGCCAGCGTATGGGTGATACTTTAATAGATAGTCCATCAATGGTCTCCCATCCTCCTTGGACACTTCATCATTATGGCCTCTTACTCTGGCAGTTAATTTTGCCAATTTCAGCCCAGTCCATCATTTTCACAAGCCATTCTTCCTTCCTTGGTAATCCTTCCTCTTTCCACCTCTGTGCATATAAAGTTCTAGCTCCTATTACACTTCCCATAATTCTTTTGAGGGGTGCCATGACAATCTCAAATGCTTTAAATGTTCAGTGCGGATGGGCCCTTTTCCTAGCAACCTAAGCACTAAAGCTGTAGCAAACTTAGCTGTCAACTTTCCCTTTTTTTGCGGGAAATTCCCTTATTCCAGCACCGCTTCCCGCTGCTAACCCCGATTGTTAAATATCCCATAGACTGTCCCTGGGATAGGTGAGGCTGCTGATCCCTTATTTTCGAGGCTGCTGATCCCTTATTTTCAAATCTGAAAGTTGACAGCTATGGTAGCAAATATCATGTCCAGCTCATGTAGAAGCTCTCCAAGAATTTTGACATGCCCACCGCTCTCAGAGACAAGTGTCTATGCCCCTTGAGACTTTCTGCTGCAGCTGGAAGATGCCCCCAGAGCCTTGCAGTTGGTAAAGCCAAGTCTTTGTTTTTGCAGGCACGGTGCCGATGCCCCCCCTATTTCTCCATTCAGAGCCTCCCGCCGCATCCCTCGCCGAGAAAGAGAAACTGGTGAACGGAGCGCCCCCGATCTGTGGTTTGCTACAAGGCAGAAACATGTACGCCGTGATTGACGCTGTGCCAGTCCGGCGCTGGAAAGAGTTTGTGCGGGGTCTGGGCCTGCGCGACAGGGAGATCGAGCTGGTGGAGCTGGAGCACTCGCAATTCCGCGAGCAGCAGTATGAGATGCTCAAGCGCTGGTGCCAGCAGCAGGGGCCCTCGACAGATGCCATCTTCACCGTCCTGGAGAGCATGCAGCTGGGCGGTTGTGCCCAGGAACTGAGAGAGCAGCTGCACGCCAACAGCTAGCAGGGGAGCCCCTGAGATGGGGTGGGGGCAAAGATCTGGGCTGTGCTGTTCCCCACACCATCTCAGACAGACTTGCGCTGGGGCAAAGGAAACAGAGAGCTCCAACCTCATGGAAGGGGCTCTGCAGTTATAGAACTTTGCAGTGACATTGAAATCCTATTCCAGGTATTCTGGAACATGTGTAGTGCCTAAGACACTGAGCTGCAACCCAAGGATGCTGCAGTTCCAATGGATATTCCAGGTGGCCTCTGAGATAGGGAGATAATATTTCATCTACCTAACATGCTGGTAGATGTAAAGTTTGCTGAGATTATGTATGCGAAATGCTTTGCACACACTGAAATGCTCTAAGGTACTATTAGTGATTCGGCAGGACACCTTGCTACAAATTATGGCCAAGACTTATGCCTCAGAGCTTGGCTGCCCACAGGAAGGATGAGGCAACCAGAATATTTCTCTCCCACAGCCCCTTGCCCACTCGTGACTCACCTTCTGTATTTCTCAGCCCTTCTGCAAGTTTCCTCTCAGTCAAACCACCCTTCCGATTTCTTCAGTGTCCAGCAGGGTTGAGCATTCCATGACTGAGCCTCCCCACTCAGGAGTTGGAATGTTCAGGAACATTCTGTGACCTCACAGGAGGTCACCCAATGGCTGGCCAGAGTGCCAGGAGCCTGTTTTTAAAAATGTATTTATTTATGTGTTTTCATTATGTCAATTCTAGCGCACTTTAATAATCAGGGGCTCGTGATTCTGAACCTGATTGAGCCCTGGAAAGATACACGTGATGGTCCCAGGAGCTCCAGGTTTCCCCACACCAGGAAGTCTGCAATTTGATTGGCTTTCACTGTTTTTTTAATTTGTTAAGTGGCCAAACACAGGGCAATCTCCAGGCATCTTGCAATCTAGTTTAATCATGTTCCAAATCCTATCAAATGCCTGAGTGAAGAAGAGGGCTTAATCAGGTTCTAAGAAAATGTCAGAATTTTTGGGAAAGAATTCTGCAGTTGGGAGGGTCACCACAGAAAAGGCCCTGTTCCTCGCCACCATGCTTTGAAACTCTCTCTGAGCCAGCCCACAGTGAAGGACCTCAGGTGATGTTCGTAAGGGTTATCAAGAGAAGTGGTGGTCTACCTACAGACTAAATAGTATGTCTGTAGGGCAGAGGGAGCTCAGCATAAGAACTTTAGTACAGCCTTCAGGATGAGGCCAATGCCCCATCTAGTCCAGCAACTTGTACACACGCCCTGGTGGGAAACCCTCAAGCACATATTTTGCATGGGGGGGGGCGGCCCTCAGGTGCCTCTAGGGGTTTTTGGGGAGACCCTCCTGCCCATCAGCTAGGTGGACCCAAAGGTTTGGCTTCCTGTGTTTTTCTGCACAGAAAGAAGAGAATAGACAGCTAGCTGTTGGGGACCCTCCAGCTTTCAAATTTCCGGTCTCGAGCAGCGAATTGGGATTCGAGGGCTGCCATCCGAATCCAGGATGCTGCAGTATTGCTATTTATGAAACATCCAGTTCTCTGCCATTTTTCTGGTGCTACATTTCCAAGGCCATTTTCAGAATTCCCTGCTGGTTGCTGCAACCGGGCACTGCAGGCGCATCAAGCTGAGTTGTGAATATTGTCATTCAAATTTGAACTAGAGACTACCAGCTCTAGCACTCACTGCCATGGCCACTCCTTCAAAGCAAACACTGGAATTGGGTGCTGGTTGAATGCTAAACTTCCTGGGCTTAGAGTTTTGTTTTGAACAATTGAGCGGTATATACATTTTGTTAAATAAAAAAATGCTGCACACCACCACCTACGACCCCCTTCCGCTCCCCCTCTGTTCAAAAACCCTTTCCACCATGGCATCGTTATTTCAGTTTAAGGAAATAAAATAAAAAAGAAATGATACGCTCTATGTTATTAAATATTACTTCTGTGTCCAGAATAACAGCTGCCTGTTTTGTGTGTGGTTAATAGGCCCTTGATGGCTGATCCAGAGAAGGTTAGTTATCCCTAGGTCCCGTTGAATTCAGTGGAGGCAAAGTGAGTCACACAACAGGGGCATGGGGAGGAATTCTGGCTGGTTCATATATGCACACACACATCTACCTAGTCCACTCCCTCTTAATTGCCACTCTTCAGCAACCAGGATGGCATAAAAACCTTCTTGCAGTTGTATCAGCGAAAGCAGAAGGGAGTCTGTGTAGAAGCGATTCCATCCTGAGGGAGAGGTCAAAAGCGAGAAAAAACAAAGGAAAGACCAGCTTGGAGAGGGACTTGCTTTTTAACAGCTGATAAGGTCAACACGGGTGGCGCTGTGGGTTAAACCACAGAGCCTAGGACTTGCCGATCAGAAGGTCGGCGGTTTGAATCCCTATGACGGGGTGAGCTCCCATTGCTCGGTCCCAGCTCCTGCCAACCTAGCAGTTTGAAAGCACGTCAAAGTGCAAGTAGATAAATAGATACCGCTCCGGTGGGAAGGTAAACGGCATTTCCGTGTGCTGCTCTTGTTCGCCAGAAGCGGCTTAGTCATGTTGGCCACAGGACCCAGAAGCTGTACGCCAGCTCCCTTGGCCAATAAAGCAAGATGAGCGCCGCAACCCCAGAGTCGGTCACGACTGGACCTAATGGTCAGGGGTCCCTTTACCTTTACATTAAGGTCAACATTCTGGGTCCGAAAGAATCCCCAACCTTCAGAGGCCTCGAAGGTGGACAGGACCCAAGCCCATATAGAAAAGAAGAGTTTGAAGAAAATCTACAGAGTGCTGCTGGAGCTGCTGTGCTTTTAATGAAAATATGGCAGCTAAAGGAACTTCTTGCTTCAACTCATCCAAATAATTGAGATGTACATTTCAAACTGTAACCCTTTTATTTAGAAATGCCCTTTTCCCTTTGCAAAATAAAATGTGCACCAGCAGAACCTTTTGTCTACAAGGTTCTATTACGAAAAGGGCAGGGTGCTTGAGGAACACTGCTCTCCATTATACTTTAAGCTACCCGGGTCAGTTTGCAACAGACAGATGATATTGGCAGAGAAAGGGTGAAGTCAGACGTGAAAAGAGGGCTGTGGCCCCTCCATCCTGGAGAAGGGGGGCTGAGCGCTGTTTTGCAAAAACAACAACACCCTCTCCTTTGCCAATAAAGTAAGTACTCATAAAGACAATGGGAATTCCTTCCAAGTAAACATGCACAGGATACACAGAGCTTTAAAACATTCTTCATCTGGTTTCTGCATCAAGGAACACCAGATTCTGCAACCTGTTTAAACTATGCAAATGCAGCAAGCCTGCAGAATCTCTCGATTCATTTTTCCAGTGGTTATCCTTTTGCTTCTGCAAGTTAAGAGCAAGAGGTCAAAGAGCTTGATGGTATGCTGAAGAACCTTGTTCAGTCATGCCCACTTTCGGAATAGAAGTTAAGGGACCAAGAGGGTCATCTAGTCCAACCCTCTTAGGTCTTAGGGTTAGCCAAGACAGCAGCAAAGGACGAATCTGGAGAAATTATTTTATTGCACAGATGGACATTTGGACATTAAGCAGTTGATATCATACCAGCCAAGTGGGGGGTGGAGGGTATTGTAAGTTGCTAAGGTTGCCATGTGGCTAGATTTCATATTCAACTTAGCCTTAGGGTGAAGACAGATATAACACTCCGGACAGCCAGTTCTCCCCCTCCCCCAAGGTGTGACATCAGCTTCAGCTTGACTTGTACACAAGTGAATTTATTCACATCCTTCCCCACCTTTCAGTACGTCACCCACCTCCCTGCTTCAAATGCTTCTTAAAAAGGCATCGTGAACATTAATTCAATTCAGAAATACTAACAAGTTGCAAACATTTCTCAGGGTTAGTGAAGTCCCAGGTGCTAGCCAGTCAGTGCTCATCCCTGGTGCTTCCCGACACACTGAAAACTGGTACATGGGCGTTCTGGTTTTTCTTTCTTTCTTTCTTTCTTCTTTCTTTCTTTCTTTCTTTCTTTCTTTCTTTCTTTCTTTTCTTTCTTTCTTTTCATTCCAGGACAGAAAACGGTACATTATATTTTAGGGTACAGTTTCACATCACTTCCAGCAAAACTTAAGAATGTTATGCCTGTCCTCACGTTGAGGGGTGGGGCTGGTCTGAAAACGGGCACAAAATGAATAAGAAGAATCGGGGGAACGAGCAATTGGAGAGAGATGGCATAGGTAAAGGAGGTTTGTGTGTGGTTTTGCTGAGAGGAGAGAGAAGCCCAGAAACAGGAAGTGGGGTAGGGGTGGGCAGGAACATCCCTCCTCCTCCTTCTCCTCCTCTCAAACAGCTCACAGGGTCTGAGATCTACAGGATGGAAGCATCTCCAAGCACAGCGGAACCAGGCAGGTGGGCAGATTGAAGGACGCCCGGGTCCTAGTGCTTCGCTATGTCTCCTTTTTTGAGGATGATCTGCCTTTGCCAAGGCGCCAATTTTGATTCATCATACCCAAGAGTCCTTAGCTTTTCTGACTGCTCTTTCTCCTTCTCTTCCTCTTCTCGCCGCAGCTTTTCTTCCTCTTTTCTGTTGGGAAGGAAAAGGGAGGGGAGGCTCAGCTGGTTACCAAAGGCTTGGGAGGCACAAAAGCTAAAATGCCTGTTCATTCAGCATGTAGGTGAACTGCGGAACTCCCTCCCACAGGAAGCAGTGACAGCCACCAACCAGGATGGCTTTAAAAGAGGAGTGGGCAAGCTCATGGAAGAAGGCAACCAATGGCTGCTAGCCATGATGGCTATCCTCCGCTTCCATGGCCAGAGGGCAGTGATGCTTCTGAATTGCCAGTTTCTGGATATCAAGAGACCCCAAAGTTAATGAATACAGAACAAGTGAGTAACTATGGCTTATTATACTAATAATGGGTGTTCAATTGTTATTTCAGATAAAGTCGACATACCAGACTGTGGGAAGACCATTCTTGACACTGAGCAATAATAAGGACTGGAGAGCCCCTTTTTGGACTTTTTGTGTGGAAAGGAGAATGAATGAAACTGGGGGTGTCTGGGGTTAAAGTTTGGAGAAACATCGCCTAGCAGAACGAGGAACAGCTAGCTGGCTATTATCCTGGAATACAGCTGGATACTTTGAATAACCTTAATATACATAATTGAAAGACGGAGAACCACAAGTCCTCCTTATTTCTTTGTCATCTCTCTCTTTTTATTTTTTGCGATTTTTTCTCTCCCCCCCCCCACTTTTTCCTTTTATCTCCCATGCTTTTGCTTTTGTTTTATTTTCTGATGTCCTCTTCTCTGGGTTAATGTGGGTATGCACAGGGATGGTTGGTAGGTGAAAGGCCCTGTGTGAGAGGCAGGGAAGGGAAGATCTCCCAGGGTGGGAGGCTGGGGGAAGAAAGGGAAGCTCCCAAGTGGGAGCTGGGAGGGTCTGCCCCCCCCATCTGTGTGAGACAAGGGTTAAGGTCTACCTTCGGGAGGGGGATGATTATGATGATGATGATGATATTTATTTTATTTTATTTTATTGCCCCCTTTCTCTTTTCTTTCTTCTTGTTGTTGTTGTTGCTGCTGCTTATTTAGATTAGTTCAATTGGTTCTTTTTTATTATATTGTATGTTGAATAGTTTTGATAATTTTTAAAAATAAAAACAAAACAAATCTGAGCCTTTTTTTCGCCAATCCTTAAGCTGCCACCCTTCCGAACCGGTCACGAAAATAATGACTCACCGCTTTTGCTCTCTGCAGAAGAAAAGGAAGAAGAAGAAGAAAACGCACCCGTTAGATCCCAAATTTATAAGAGTAATACTATAAGCATCTACTCAAAAACAAGCATGGATGAATCTCTTCATTTTTGGCTTGTTCCACTTTTAAGAGAAACCACAGCAGTGTTGTTGTTAATATGCCAGAGGCATGTACAGAATCCACCCCCTTCCAATGGCTGAGAACCTGCCTGTTGCCATCTATTGTCCCAGGTCTCCAACTTTCCTCATTTTCCACCCACAGTATGGATAATAAATAAAAACAAATAGGGCCAGTGAGAAGCTGCAGGAGAGAGTAGTCTTGCCTGGCTTGCTACCTTCCCCTCCTGCTGTCTTTCCCCACCTACCGTCTCTAAAATGTGGCTAAACCGTCCCATGCTGAAAACACAGCACGACATAATTTAGTACCAATATAACAGCCCGGGACGCGGGTGGCACTGTGGGTTAAACCACAGAGCCTAGGACTTGCTAATCAGAAGGTCGGTGGTTCGAATCCCGGCGACGGGGTGAACTCCCGTTGCTTGGTCCCTGCTCCTGCCAACCTAGCAGTTCGAAAGCACGTCAAAGTGCAAGTAGATAAATAGGTACCACTCTGGCGGGAAGGTAAATGGCATTTCTGTGCGCTGCTCTGGTTCACCAGAAGCAGCTTAGTCACACTGGCCACATGACCCGGAAGTTGTATGCCGGCTCCCTCGGCCAGTAAAGCGAGATGAGCGCTGCAACCCCAGAGTCGGTCACGACTGGACCTAATGATCAGGGGTCCCTTTACCTTTACCTTAACAACAGCCCATATAGGGTATGCTCTTTGATTCCTATTTTGCAACTCCAGCCAGGCTGCAGCCTCTGTTGGTGCTCCTGAGCTCTTTGCTCAGTGCTGTGATTAGAGTGGTGGACTACTAGGAGCTGGAAGAGACCAGGGTTCAAATCCCCACTCGGCCACGAAGCTCACTTGGATGACCTGGGGGTGGGGTGAAGTCCCTGCCACTCAGGCTAGCCTACCTCACAGGGTTGTTGTGGGGATTAAATGGGGAAGGGGAGAACCTTGTGCACCACCTTGAGCTCCTTGGAGGAAAAGGCGACATACAATTGCAATCAATAAAGGATGCCCTTGCCGACAGCATCCCTTGAGCTGCGTTTCCTCCTCCCCGGAG